GTCCTGCCATTGTCCTGTGACTTTCTGGTAATAAATTGAAGAGCACATACGCTTGCAATTATGTATCCTTAACCAGTTATCTAATCCCACTTATATGTAAAGATTTATAGCCTTGGAAACCCTATGGGAAACCCTTGGAAGCCTATAGGGTCGCTATGAGTTGGAATTGACTCCATGGCATTTGTTGTTGTTATTGTTATATGCCATCGAGTCGGACCCGACTCATAGTGACCCCTCCTTGGGTTTCCGAGGCAGTATCACTACAGAAGTAGATTGCACCATCTTCCTTCTGAGGAGTGGCTGGTGGGTTTGAACTGCCAGCCTTCTGGTTAGCAGTCAAGTACCTTAGGCACTACGCTACCAGAGCTTCCATGGCATTTGGGTGGGCTTTTTTTATATATAGCACTTAAAAGGGGCAGTCATGGTTCAGTGGTGGAATTCTCACCTTCCATGCTGGAGACCTGAATTTGATTCCCTAATGCACCTCAAGTGCACCTATCTGTCTTGTGTGTTGCTGAGTTTCAGTGGAACTAAACTAAAACAGACAAGGAAGAAAGGCCTGGCAATTTACTTCCCCAAAAATCAGCCAATGAAAACCCTATGGATCACAATAGTCTGATCCCATTGTGCATGGGGTGGCCATGAATAAGGAGCCAACTTGACAGCAGCTAACCACAACACATTGCTGTGCCAAGCAGTATTCTATCTATGCATACATAACCCTGAGAAGTAGCTACTACTTTATCCTCATCTAAAAAACAGATAAGGAAACTGAGGTTTGCACAGCCGGTGAGTGGTGGAGCCAGGATTCCAAACTCAGAAAATTCGGCCCAGAGCCTGCACTCTTAAACACTCTCCCAAGCTGTGTGAAGTGTCTACAGTTGCAAAAGATGAATAAGAAACAGAAAAATAACTTGTAACAGTGCAATGTAAATATTTGTAATATCGTACAGCTCTTTACTAGCCTAGATATAGAACAAGCTCCTACAGAACAAGTAAGTCATATGAACAATAAGTAAAATGAACCACCTCAAATGAAAATGGGCTGTGAATCTGAACAGACGTCACAAGGAAAGACACACAATGGCCAAGGCACCTACCTATAAGATGTCACTAATGAAATAAAAACTTATTAAAATGATATTTCTACACCCATCACATTGACAAAGAGCTCTGGTGGCATAGTGCCTAAGTCATTTGACTGCTAACCAGAAGGCTGGCATTTCAAACCCACCAGCCACTCCTTGCAAGGAAGATTGGGCAATCTACTTCCGTAGATACGGCCTCGGAAACCCAAGGAGGGGTCGCTATGAGTCGGCTGACTCAATGGAAGCTTTTTTTAAATCACATTGACGAAGATTAGAAATGTAATATCCGGTATCAGCAAGGGGATGAAGTGGCAGGAGTCTTGAACTTTCAGTGCGGCACAGGAGAGCTCCCAAGGCTGCTGAACTTGAGAAGCCAGGACCTGGGGTGAAGGGAAGCTCAGGGAGGTGGGTTTGACACTTGGTGATTTGAAAGTGCTGGCTCAGAAGCTGAGATGCTGAGCAGGAAGGGAAAGATAAGCAGCTAGAAAGCTGAGCAAAATGTTTTTTAGATACATTCAGGACTGGTGGTAAAAATTGGCGTTCAGAGCCCGCTGGGGAGCAGTCCTGGAAAAAACACCAGGCTTTCCACTGAGGCCCAGAAGTACCTTTACCTAGGAGTAGGTGAACTGCACATACCAGTTCCCATTCAGTTCCAACTCATGAAGACTGCATGCGATTCAGAGTAGAACCATGTTCCGTATCGGAAGCAGATTGCCAGGTCTTTCTTCTGACGGACTCTGGGTGAGTTCAAACCATCAACTTTTCAGTTAGTAACTGAGCACTTAAACACTTGTGCCACCCAGGAACTTCTGAACTGAGCACGAAAAAAACAAATAGCAAAATAAACCACATCCCACTGCCACAATTTCGACTCATAGTGATCCTTCCTTGGGTTTCCAAGGCAGTAGTTCTATGGAGGGGCTGGAGGGTTTGAATCTCCAGCGTCCTGGTTAGCAGTCAAACACCTTAGGCACTACGCCACCAGAGCTCTTGAACTGAGCATGTTGTTGTTGTTGTTGTTATTTGCCATCAAGTCGGCCCCGACTCATAGTGACCCCTCCTTGGGTTTCCGAGGCGGAAGTAGGAATGCCCAACCTTCCTTCTGAGGAGTGGCTGGTGGGTTTGAACCGCCAGCCTTCTGGTTAGCAGTCAAGTGCCTTAGGCACTATGCTACCAGAGCTGAGCATGTTGTTGTTGTTGTTGTTGTTATGGGCCGTCAAGTCAGCCCTGACTCATAGCGACCCCTCCTTGGGTTTCCGAGGCAGTATCACTACGGAAGTAGGATTGCCCAACCTTCCTTCCGAGGAGTGGCTGGTGGGTTTGAACCGCCAGCCGTCTGGTTAGCAGGCAAGTGTCTTAGCCACTATGCTACCAGAGCTCCCAGAGCTGAGCATAGGGCAGGGAAAAAAACTGCAGAGCAGTCTTGACCTGAGCCCTTGATGATAAGTGAGGTTGAGGGCCCTGCCCTATCCTTTGGTATTAGTGAATCAGCAGCAGTCACCAGTTTTTCTTCTTTTAGTATGGGCCCAACCCAGAAAAGCTCAGTGTTAACTCCTGGTGTTCAAGATAAGCAACTTTGCATGCTTGTGTTCCTCCTGCAGTAGCTACAAAGTGCTTCTGGCACTTCTCAGGGTTTTGTGTTTTGTTTTTATTCTGTGCCACACTCTACAACAGACGTCTGGAAGAGTATTTACTAAAATTTATATAGTGGTTCTCACTGCTTGGCAGGTTTTCAGGTGACATTTACTTTCTTGGAACTTTCCAAATCCCTTTTTGGTTTTAAAATGAACATAATTTTTATAAAATTAGCTGTTTAAAAATGTGTAGCTGCTTAAAAATGTATTTACTGGCAACTATTGACTATGTGTCACTGTTTTCCAACCTGCTTTTCATTTCACTTTGAATTCATGTTTCTTGACAATTTATTTGTATGAATATGTACATCGAAAATAATGGTGGAGGTGGTTGTCTTGCACAGTAGGTGATTTGTTTTCCTTCTACCTTTTGGCACTGCTGAATTTTAAAATGAGCCCCTATTATCAATACTCCTTTTCCCTTTAGAAGCCAGCCATCAGGTCCCAAGCCATTTCCATGTGAACTACATTCAGATTCTTTGGCCAACCCACATACAATGTATGGTTTTCAGTCCCATCCTACTTGCTTTCTTTCAACTACGCTGTCCTGCCTGGACTACTACAGCAGCGGTTCTCAAACTTTTTTGCCTCCAGATACTTTTCACTTTCAGAAAAACATCACTGAGGACCCCAATGAGCTTTTATTTGAGTTCTATTGGTATTTGCCATATTAAAAATGTTTTGGAAAAACAGTTACTTTTCACTTAAAAATGTTAGCATGTAATGGGTTTATTTTTTCTAATATATTTGATCTTAACTCCCCAAAAAGCTATGTTTAGGTGACAGTTAAAAGACCCAGGACAGTGAAATAATGCTGTTTCAAATGTAACCTTATATTTTTAGGAAACAAACTGGAAATCAAAGAATAAAAATGTAAACCCTATAAAAACCCAATATATATGTATGTATTTGAAAATATGAGCCCTGAAGTTTGAAAACACAACCAAGCAAGCTTCCCCGCGCCAAGCCCCCAGTTTCTAAAGTGCTGGAAAACTGGAATTTCAAAAAGTACAAATAATACTCCCTTCATGCCCAGAGCCTAAACAAGCAGCAAAAACCCCACCCACATCCTCCCTCTTCTCACCTTAGAGGCTCCATGTCCTTCATCTTCCCTAGAGAGTCTACCATGATCAAAGTTTCACCATCAGCTATCTCATTTGATCCCACTTTTTGTTCACAGATTTTTTAAAAAGGGCATAATGTAATACAAGCTTATGGAAAAAAACTGCCAGGGATGGATGCCATACTATGAACAGGGGGTTTGGGAATACAAGGGACTTTTACTTACATATTTTGAAATCTCTGTAATGTTTAAAATCAAATGAGCATGTCTTACTTTTGTTAGAAGAAAAATATTTTTATAAAAAAGAAACTGGCAGTGAATTACCTTTCTAAGCACAGGCATCCTTATTTTGATAACATATGGTATAGATCATATATATCCACTTTCATTAAAGTGAGGCAACATATCCCTATTTACATAATTTATATATATTTTCCATTTATATTTCTTTATTTAGCAAACCAACATTTTCCACTACGTCAGTAATTTGCTCTGATCTATGAGACTATTCGTAAGGCGACATAACCCATTTAAGAGTGAAATCTAAGTTAGTGAGGGTGAGGAAAAAAGCTGTTTAAAAGAGTACTGCTTAATTTTATGTAGAGAGTAACCTAATGCCAGGGCTTCATGTAAGAAATAGGAAGAAAGCACACAAAGAACCAATTCTAAAATGATCTCTTCATTTTTAATTTTTTAAAAAGCATGTTCATAGCACACTCCAAGAACGTCATACAGCAATAGCTTGCTGCTCTTTGTTAAACAGGGTATGTTAGAAAACAACAAAATGTAAATGGTAAATAAAGGTTTTTAAAATTAGATAGTTCTCTGAAATTTCTGTCAATAATCACCAGTCACGTAATCTTTGTCCCAGAGTAGTCAACATTTGAGAAATGAAATGAATATCTACCTCAATCACACTTCTCTGAAATGCAGTTAAAAACAGTACAACAGAAACAGAAATAAATACTTTTCTAGAAAGAACATATTTGGCAATTTAAAATGTTACGATGTTTAGATTTTTTTTCTTTTTATTATCAGACAGAAAGTCTGGGTCATCAGTGATGACAGAAGGAACATTACGGTGTAGTTGATGAAGTCTGACCTAACAAACCAATGGGAAAAGTATAGTGCTTGCTTTTCTTAGAAGAGGAGTTCAGTTAGTACTAGAAATTATTAAAAGGTCAGATAATTCAAAGTAATTGGTTAAACTGGTATCCAAGTTGCTTTAAATATATTTTCCCCCTTTTGATTATTTAATATTTCTAATTTGCTTACATTATTTCTCTCAAATATAATTTGAGTGAAATAGAAACTGAACTTTGTTTCATTAACTTCATTAGAATGTGTCAAACATGGTTAAATCTTATATTCTGTCCTTCCAAATAAGTTGTATTTTCCTTATAAATGGAAAGCAGCTACACCATGAGTTATATTCTAACCATTTTACTTAAATGTAGAAAAACTGAAAGTTAAATTAAAAAACATCTTTTTTTTTAAAGTTAAGAAGTCCTTAGATAATTATCAGAAACTTAGGATGCCTTTTCTTGATGTAAGTATGGAAAAAGTAGCATTTGGTTCCTATTCATGATGTACCAATAAAAAGTATATTGCTTATGCCTATTTCCTTTAGCTACTGTGAAACCAAATTTCCGTTTATAACACCCACTAAAGACAAGAAATTTTCCTTTAGAATCATGGTTACACTCTGGAAAAGGAATTGAGAAGGGCTAATTAGGTCAATAAAATACTGAGGAAGGATGTAAAACAAAACAGGGAGGTGAAAAAGCAAGTATGTTGTAACAAAACCCTCCCCTATAAACACATCTGTCCTTTCTTCCCATACTGAGAAATATTACCTAAGTTTTAAAAATTCTCATGATAACATTCTATACCATGAATCATGTGAAATCAGGTGTATTTCAGGTAGATAATGACCTTTAATTGCTTAAGAATTATATTAGCCTATTCATAAGAGAGGTAGTGACATTCTAGTCTCTCAGTGCTGAGCTAAAAATCCCACACACTTGGCACGTAAGTTACAAGGAAAAAAAAAAACCACAGAAGCACCATTGTACACCCCTCATGTTTCCTTTTTTGGTATTTCAAGTCATCCATAACTTCATTGCCATTGATAGCTGACAATCACCATTGCATTAACATTTAAAGGCAGCGGGTATTGGTGTTATTCATCATGCAGTACAGGTGGACCTCCATCATCTTTCAAAAATGAAGCAGCCTTCCTTCCATTCTTCTGAACATGATCTTCGTTCATTTTCTCCAAAGCTTCAATCTATAAAATCAATACATTCATTTGTCAAAAAGCTACTTTACAGAAACTATAATTCAGCTTGAGCCTGTGTTTCAGCTCTCTTAAAAATTAAGACATTCCTAATGATGCTGACCTTGAATTACAAAATATGGGCATGTACACACATACACTCCTCACCCATGTGCTATTGGCTTGATTATATTACCAGGGTGTGTGTGTGTGTGTGTATGTGTATATATATGTGTGTGTGTATATATATATATACACACACACACATACACATCTTTATCAAGTTAGCAATTGGATGAATTTAACCATATACTGTATAAAACAAACACATATGTTTATGTATTGTACAAAGGTTTCAGGGAAGAGGGAAAATCGGAATCCAATGTTTACTCACAATAGTAATATCTATTTACTGAGCAACTATACTGTGCTGGATTTACCATCTACCTGTTCCTTTTTGGCCTTAGCTTGGTCAAACTCAAATCATACTTGGAGGTTTTGGACAGACTCTATAATCATTCTCTGAAGGTGCTTGGTGTAATACTGGGATGAATTAGCTGCTATTTTAATTTTCAGTTTGTTTAATTTTATGAGAGCTTCTATAGAGAAGGATCCTTCTATGGCTCTGTAAATACAATACTGTAATGACTGGTATTTCCAAAGATGGTCACTTCTAACTTCCTATGTTCAATTAAGGGCAGGGACCTTATGTTACTGCTTTTTGTGTCACCCAGAATGTTTACCAGTCAGCTTTCTCATTCATAAAATAAGGAGAGTAAGAGGATACTGGAAATGTGTTATTTGTCCATCTTAACCAAATGGTGAACTCCTTTAAGAGTGTTTGCCATGTTGATACCAAATTTTAAGCCTGGAAAGGACCAAAAACAACATCTCAAGAAAAGAAAAATTTCATTCATTTTGTTTTTGAAGGGAAGAGAGGATACTAAGCTCTGTGCTTCAGTTATCTGTTCTATCAAGTTCCCCTTTAATAACAAGGTTAAAAAATGGCTGTACAATACTTAACCTCAGCTAAGAAATCAGCTTCATTATCTGCCGAGATATCCAAGCCTGAAACAGCATTGAAGAGTTCTCGTTCATTAAGGGCTTCCTTTACTCCTCCTTTCTGGAAAAACTAATAAAAAAATACAAGAAAATCACTAAGAGAATGAGATTGTTTCGTAAATTAAAAATAAACCAAACGGTAGGACTTAAGAGTTAACCTAAAAACCACCCTGCCAGCCAGGGGGACTGCACGGACTGTGCATGGTGGCAGGGGAACAAACGGAGAAAGTGAAGACAAAGGTGGGCTGAGAAGTGGACTTTTGCCAGTCCGGAGGTCGCCGCCATTTTGTAGGATTAAAAAGCAGCTTGACTGTTTTTGGATATTTAAAGAGGCAGCGCTCTGGCAGATGTCTGGGGCTTAAGAACACGCTCTGCTTTCCAGCAACCCCAAGGGCACTCGGGCCCTGCAAGACTGAAAAGGTACCACATTCTTCTTGTTACGACACCCTATACTTGCTTGGTGAATGGAGGTGGGGCCATCCCCACTCCCAACTACCTTTTGGGCCCACAGGAACTTTATCACAGTCGGTGTGCTCAGACGGGAGCCTGGGTGCCGTACCCAGTCATCCACCGATTTCTTTTTTTGCTTTCTTTTTCCCGGTGATTACTTTGCTTGTATTTGTCCATTTCAAACAAATATTATTATTAATACTTATTGTCTTTTTAATTATTATTTTAAACCTTCCCCTACCAGGGCCTGGTTTTCAGCAATTTTTCTATTCCCTGTTCCCGGTTGAAACTCTGCCCACCCCCCACAATTCAAGGTTGTTTTTTTCTTTTTTTTTCCCTTTTCCTCCTATTTTTTTTCCTCGTGACTAACGCCATTTCTTTTTTTCTTTTTGCA